GTTCAGGGTTTTGCCCATGAAATGGTGCCATCCTCACTGACCTTCTTACCTCAATTAACTCAGTTATGAAAATCCCTTACAGGCAGCTGGGTGTGGTGGTGCATGCTTTTAATTCCACTGTGAGTTCAAGGCCAGCCTGGTCTACAAAGTGAGTTGAGGAGAGCCAAGGCTATCCCGAGAAACCCTGTCTCAAACAAACAAATCACACATAGGTATGTTCAGAGGCCCGTCTCCCAGGTGATTTTAGTTTTTGCCAGTTTGATAATACTAATCATCACACTACATAAGATATATATTTGCCACTTAGCCAGATTTAAATCTTCTATAATATATTGGTAATTTTAAGTATAGTATTTTTATATATTACAAAGCATAGAATGATGTCTACCAACCTAAAAATAATAGAAATAAATGAATGCTTTTGACCTCTGCCTTGCTTGCTTACTATAAGATATCATGGCTGACTGAACCCTAGGAGGTCTCTGCCATTACGCTCTTACCGAGCCCTAGGTGGGAGCGAGGTCTCTGGACAGGCCCACATATAAGGAGGAAGGTGACAGGCATACATTGAACTGAATAGGAAGAGAAATGGAGCGAACCATGAAAGAAAGAGCAGCCCTTGTCTCAGCCAGCACTATAACCAGCTAATCAAACCAGGTCAAATCATATCCTAGACAATTTTCTGGGAAGCCTTCAGAGACTCACCCAGGCTGAGAAGCCAGCCAATTATGCCTGATGATCTTCTGCAGCACTGTCCTTACAAAAGACAAGTCCAAGCTGGCCCGATGCAGACAAATGAGTAGTAGTTTTATTATCTCTGAAATGTAATCTAATTCCCTTCAAATTTAAAAGTGGCCACAGTTTCCTAACAGGCCTCAGTGGGGCACATGTAGAAATTAAAAAGTTCACGGTGTGTCCAGCTGGCTTTCATTATCATTTTTTTTTGTCATGTAACAGATGGGATTTCCATTATTACTTGAGGATTTTTTCTGTGTCTGATTCTTTAAGAAGGTCAAGTCTACGGAGCTCAGACTCTGAGTTGAGAAATAAGTCAAGCAAGTCTAATGGAACTGGCTGAAATCTCATGGAGGTTTTTCTGGTCGAACAGGACAAGGATTCAAAGTAAGATCATAGGGACAGGGAAATCAGAGTGTCCTACAGAGCCCCTATCCTGCCACACACTCACCTATCCTACAATGGCGGGCAAGTTGCTTGGCCTCAATGCCAGTCAGGTATTTCCTCTATAAAATGAGCATGGAGAAAAGGCTGGAGAAGGAAATGCCAATTTATTAAACACCCACCACCTTTGGAACATGTGGTATAGACTTTTTTTTAACTTTCATCTAACCAACAACACTGGAAAGCCCACATCATTCACAGACAGTGTTATTAAAGCTAATACAATCAGCCACTCTGCCACACTGTCACCATGTCATCATTAGAGTGAGCATGATGGGAGGCAGGGAAGGAGGACTCAGATGGTGGGAACAGGATTACAATCTAATGTGTTTCAGAAGCTTGGCAATGTTTGGCCAATTATTCGTACTCCTGAAAAATACATCTGCCAGTAGATTCAGAAAGGCAAATGGGTGGTAACAAAATAGAAACAGATGCATTGTCAGTAGGGAAAAAGTAAACTCTAGAACATTCATTAGGGTACTTACAGTGTTAATGCTATTTAAATAAATAACAGTAACATTCATTTCTAATATTAAATGCAAGATGTGATGATAATTTTTGAGAAGGATTGGAAACATGACTGAGAAGGATACTGAAGCGCTAAGAGTCTCCAGTGATGCGAAAGTGTAGGATCTATGTGAGCACTTTGCAGAACTTGGCATGTTTTCCCCAATTGATTCCTTTTCTTCATGTAAATGAGCATTGCTTACAATACCATGCAGTTCTAAATTATTTTTAAACAGAATTTTTGTGGAAGTTTTCTTTTTTTTCCCTAACAATCCTAAAAGATAGAAGATAAGAGAAATAAAGTTGAACAACAACAAAAAAAATGATTTAAAGGGAATGGTCTTTCACAGAGCATAGCTCAGTTTACCCGCTCAACAGGAAGTAAAGATGCAGGGAGAAGGCTGGGGAAAGTGACCTCCAATGCACGAGGGGTTGACAGGGGGAACCAAATGCTCCAGTTGACGTGAAGGGTGATGAAGAAGGCAGATATAAATTTTTCAATTTTATGAGAATGATAGGGATCTGAAATAAATCTTCAGTATTTTCTTTTTAAGATAAATGTTTTAAAATAAATGCCCGTAGCATGGATGGATGGCCAGTGTCTGTGTCCTGTCTTACAGCTGGCCGTAAATAATTCTGAGAAAAATAGCTTTGACCACAGTAAAAAGCACCTTTATTTTTTACTCTTAAGAGCTTGGCAGATTATATTTTGATGCATTAAGCCAGATTTTTTTTTTAAAGGCAGCTGCAAAAGTAACAGGTGGAGTATAGAAATTGTCTCTGGTTGGAAATAGCTGCTCAGGGCTTGGCTGAGAGCTAAATCTTTGTTTCAAAACACGCCTGAACAACTGTGAGCACACCGGATAAAACTGAATTCAAGTTTAAGGCACTTGATGGGGCTTCAACTTAAGAAATGCTTTGATGAGTCTCCAGATGATTTGTTTGAATCGTCCGTAAGCCCTAATAAATGAGAAATCTAAGTAATCTGCTGTGAGTATAAATTCTCAAATATCAGATTTGCCTGAATTTAAATTTTCTTTTTATTGTGGTCTCTCTGTTTAAAAGTGGGTCACTTTGCTATAGACTTCAGTTCTTTGCTCACAAAGGGACGCAAAGGGGGGTTCCATTAGGGGTAAGCATAATGACTAGTCAGACACATTGCTCATCTTTGAGTTCCTTAGCCTCCCAGCACTGGAATGACTGATGGGCACCCTGGTACTTCCTGGGAGTTTGCCAGAAGTTTACTCTGCTATGCTTGAAAGAGAGGTCTACCACCAGACAGGAAAGGGAAAGACTAATCTCTGCTCACTGGGAAGGCCTCTGCGCATATACTGTGAGAGAATGGGTTGGAGCTGGGGTTCACACATGGATGAAAGAGAAAGCCAGTCGGGTGTTATACAGATCTGCGATTCCAGCACTCAGATGTCTATGGCCAGGGATCACAGGTTTGAGGGTAGCCTGGGTTCTGTACTAAATTTCAGGTCAGCCCAGATAAATGTCGCTTCCTAAGAAGAAAGGAAGGAGGACAGAGAGGAAGGAAGGGAGGGAGAAAGGAAGGAAGGAAGGACTGAAAGAACTGGAAGAAACTGTGACTCAACTCTGTACTTGAGACCTGATTTACAGAAATTAACCAGAATCTTGAGTTTTTAAATCTGCGTGTTTCTCACTGTCATATCTATCTTTAAAGCGAATGTTGTATGCCAAACCAAACATTTCCATGACCCAGACGTTTTTGTTGTTGTTGTTGTTGATATTTGCTTAGAAAATCTTATTTGCAGAGATGGTTAAAGGCATTGATTAAGCCCACTACAGTATTCGTTATACCCAGAAGAATACGAGGATAGGTTGTTTTTAGGCTGCCAAACAAGGGGAGGGGCAGGACATTGTCCTTTGTAGAAAGAGGTGGCATGAGAGTTATACTTCAAAGTGTCATTTGGTCAGAGGACACTTGGAAGATGTTTGAGGACTACCCAACCTTAAGCATTATGGAGGTCACAGGTACCCTTGGTAGTTATCATTCTATATTAAAATAAAGATAAAGCCTTCCAACGAAGCTTTCCTTCCCCATCTCTATAAGAATGCTATGGGCTTATCTTCACATAACACTGAGTTTAACCCAGCCCATCACTCCTGACTTTATAATGTTCTGTAATGAATAAAAGGCCTTCACAAAGCATCTCTCTTAAAAGTGCAAAAGAGTCATTTTTTTTTCTGCCCAAGTAGCTCATAATGTAGCAGACAAACTGTCAGAAAAAATAGACTTCATCATGGTGAAAACCCCTGCCTGGCACCCATCGATCATAAAGCAATCTTCTAGAGGTCTTGAAAACCTTCATTAAATTTCCTGTCTTTCTCTTGACAGTTATAAAATGTTAACAATATTCCTCGCAATTCAGGGCATCTTCAGACATTCTTTGTCTAAGGCCTCCTACCCAAGGCTTTGCCCATTCCTTTTTCTTTACCCAAATCCATGGGCACAGTTGATAGTACAGTATCCTAACACACATGCTTTCTGGGGTCTGACCTTTGTAGAAGCTCAGGGTGAGAGCGGTAATAGCCTTTAAGACAGGGAGAAAGCTCTCTAGTCAAAAGACACAAAGGACAAAGGCACTCTGACTTTAGATTTCTCCTCTAAAAGCCTCACACATGGTGAAAGTCAAGGACACAGTCCCCTCCTACCTCTTGCAGGTGTTTTATTGATGTTTTTATTTACCTTTTGCTTGCCAATATACCATGATATAAGATTCCACGTGGAATGTAAGTGGGGCCAGGGGTTGCCACATTTTATCATATCTATGGGCCATTTTTCTGAGAGCAAAATTCCCCAAGGAGTTTCACCAGTCCAAACTCCTCCAACTCCACCAACTTCAAGTCCTCCAACTTCAGCAATTTATCACCTCTTAGAAGAAGAAAAATGGACATGTGTCACACATCTTTTATCTTAGCACTTGGGAAGCAGAGACAGGCTAATCTCTGTGAATTTGGGGGGACAGTGTGGTCTACATAGAGAGTTCCAGAATAATTAGAGATACACAGAGAGACTCTGTCTTAAAGAAAACCAAAATAACACAAGCAAACACCAAAAGAAGGAACATGGGTCTTCCATGAGAAGCCAGGTGAAGGAGAATAACCATAAGAGATAAAGAGTCCACACTGGCAACAAGATGAGACACACAGCACGAGAAGCAAAGGCTGTCTACACACACGGTGGCAACAACAACAACTAGGTCCTAGTTGGGCTTTGCAGAGGTTTCACATCAGGCCTTCAGAGTGAGGCCAGCCTAAAAGGCATTCTAAGATACCGGTCATCTTACCTGCAAAAGGCACTGGGGCGTCCTTATCCAGGGCTACCAGTGGAGGGTCCAAAATGACTGTGTCATTGTTCTCAGTTATGACTCCATGATATGATGTCTCGATCCATGGCTTGTGTTTATTGACTAGAAAACAACACAAAACAAAAAGATCGTTATGATAATAATTAATACATAATAAGCTACCAATGTCTCATATTTGCCTCATCATAGATGCTTATCCAATAGCCTACATCATAAAAAACATTAGCCCACTTGACGTGTAGAAAAGCTACAGAGATGTGCATTGACAGTTTAATGACACACTCCAGGCTCACATAAGGCAAGGGGAAACATCAGTATAAACAAACATATTATTAAGAGTTAAAATTTTTAATGTTACCTATTAATAGATGTTTCAGAGTTAAAATTCATTATCGGTCAACACACCAGCATATTATCTGTGTGCTGGGAATTTTGACCTCAACTTAACTGGATTCATGTGTAGATGCCATTAGTAGATTAACTCACATGCATATATAAAACACATATGCAGAAGTCCACACACACACACACACACACACACACACACACACACACACACACACATATATCCCTATCTATGTAAATACTCAACACTGAGTATTTTTTGATGATTTAAAGACTAATAAATGGTCTAAGTTATATTAAAATTTATATCAATTAAAATTTCTCATCAGTAAATTGACCTGTTCAAATCATACATCATCTAATAAACAGCTGATATACTTAAATACATATCAAATATGCTATAAGGTTTAATGTGAGTCCACCTACAAATTATGTTGGTGTACTGACCTCCAGAACTTCAAAATTTGTCTTTATTTAGAAAGAAAATCTTTACAGTGTTAATCTATTTAAAATAGGGCTACTAGGGTAGATCCTCAATGATCATGGCCATTGTTCCTATTAAAAGGGGAAATTTTCAGGCAGAGAGAGCCAAGCATTCGAGAAACACACTATGAAAGACTGGAGCTGGCCTGGGAAAATAACTCATTTGGTAAAGTGCTTGCTGTCTAAGCATTAAGACCTTGTTTAATCCCCAGATCTTAGGCAAAATGCTAGGCATAGAGGCCATGCTTATAATCTCAGAACTAGGGAGACAGAGACAGGTGAATTCCTGGGACTTGATGGATACCTAGTCTATAAGTGAATACCACATTCCAATAAAGGACCTTGTGCAATAATAAAATAATAATAAATATGGGTAGTACCTAAGGAATGATATTCAAGCTTGACCTCTGGTCTTCTCTTACAGGAGACATGTTCATGAAAACACACACACACATACAAACACACACACAAACACACACACACACAAGTTATGTTTCTACTGTCCACTAGGTACTATCTAGGATGAGAGCTTCAACTTGATCATTCCCCGAGTACAGATGAAGCACAGTCTTGCACCTTCATTGTAGATGTCAGACATCCAAAAGTGTGACACAGTATATTTCCATTTTTCTGAAGCTACTCAATTTATGGCACTATGTAGGAACCCTCCCAAACAGCTGTAATAGACTAACAAAGACTAATAATGGCTAGATCTTGAGATAAAATGTGACAAGATTTTCACTTATGGACATCTCTGGTATATTATGTCCAATATGATATAATATATAGCCATTCATCTCCTTGGAGATTGTTTGATTTTTGTGCTGGTCCCTATGATGCTATTTGTGTATCTATAAGGGCATTTGAACTCATCTCCCAAGAAAATACTCCACCCTTTCCAGTCAGCACTCCACATCCGCATCAAGAGTGGTCTTTCTACTGTGAACTTCTTGGTCTCTCTTTCCTCCACATCTAGCCACAGAACTAAGGCAAAGCTGATACTTTAAGAAGCAAAATAACATGCCTACCTAATATGGCCCACCCTCACTCTCTGTTCATAGATTCAAAGTTGCGGTCCTATATGTTTCCCACAGCAACCTATGAAATAGGTGTGACCATTGTAAAAATGGTAAAGAAAAAGGCATCCACAAAGAGTGACTTTCTTAAGATGACAGCATGTTTCATAATGGGCAAGAAAAACAAAACTTTTAGCACCTCACCATTTACCAAAGAAATTCACAAACACAAATAAACATTTATTATTTCACGTATGTAACACACACATTGCAGCTACTGTTTTCACAGCATGACACCCATAAACATCTAAATAGAAGCAGCTGTGCCTACCCAAAAACGTCCCTCACATGGGGCCTATTGCTGGGCCCTCATAGGAGCCATGTCATTAGACTCTCACCAAAGATTTCCATTCCCTCACAGAACCCCTCCCACTGGCATGTAATTCTGCCCTAAATGCATGTGGTCTCCAAAGGTACTGGAGTGGAAAGCGGAAAGGGAAACAAAGGGGATATTTCACCTGGGCAGCCACAGGGCAGTCTTTATCTGTGCTGAGATGAGGCTTTTGGGTGACATGACTGTTCAGGGGTCACCCATTGCTGTAAGTACCCCCTCACTCAGCTGCGGCAAGTAAGCTCAATAAAGGCATTAGCTTACCAGGCTAGATTTGATTGGAATAGTTTCCTTGGCCTGTCATTGATGCCCCCTCTTGGAGGGGAAGGGTGTAGATGTTTGCTCACAGATTCCCCAGGAAAAGCTCATGGAATACCATATTACTGTAATGGAGCATACAAAAGTTTCAGTAGTCACGGAAAATGGAGGCCTTAGAGAATTGAGATTAACTTTGTCGCCCCCTTCCCTTTCCCAATCCATCATTCCTGGAAAGTTCATTTAAGAGCTGTCGCAGGATTGGTGGGAAAAACCACTCACTAAATCACCATCTTTCTATTTCTCACCCATTCCCTGGCAGTCACAAACTAAGTGAGTGGCTGGCAAGTCTGCTGGGGGCAGAGCTATGTGCCCAGCCAGTCTCAAGTCTGAGCTCCTGAGATACATTTCTGCTGATTGAATCCTGCTCAGAGCAAAGCGCAACTCTGTCCATTTCAGGTATGCATGGGGCAGCAGGCTCATCCATTCTTACATTTTGTCGTTCAGACCTGCACTTCATTACTGAGTCTGTAAGAATTACAGCCATCCAGGGCTGTGCCTCCACTCCTTTTCTCTTTTATTAGCCATCAACACAAACGCAATGTAAATAATTTGCAGCTGTTGGGAGAAACAATTAATCTCTTTTCTCCTTAATTAAACCTAGGGGCCTATTCATTAAAAATGTGTATCGAGCAGACACCGGGAGCTCGAGAGTTTCAGATCCACTGTGCCACCTGGCTCAGTGCAGGCAATGTTCCTGCTTTGAACTCTGGCTTAGTTACTTAGCGGTATTAGGTGAGTCAGTAGCCTCTCAGAGTTTCAGTGCCTTCAGCTACAAGATGCAGGTGATGATGTCACTCAAAGACCCTGCGCTGGATTCACAACCTCTGTCTTTGCATGGTTCAGACTCACTCTGTGCTCTGGGCAGTGATAGCTTCTACACGAAAGGGGGCTTTAGAGACTAACTTTAAGGCCGAGGCTGCTCCCGCATCAGTGGAGGTTGAATCTCTTCTACCTACAGGCTTGCCGCCCTTTATTCCTGTCACCACTGCAGTTAGTCAGGCGGCCACGTCACTTTAGGCATTTCACACATATGGGTTTATTCATCCCCTTTTACATGTACCTGTTTGTCTGTCTCTCTGGTGTACGTGTGTGGGCATGAATGTGTCATAGGGCATGTGTGTAGGTCAGAGCACAATGCAGAGAGAATCCGCTCTCTCCTTCCACTGCCTGAGTTCAAACTCAGTTTCTCATGCTTGGCAGGAAGCACCTTTTCCCACAGAGCTATCTCCCTCGCCAAGGCTCATTAATTCTCACAACAATTACAGTGGTAAGAACCTGTTTCACAGGAGAGGAACTGAGACTCAAAAGGCTTTAACTGTCCCATTTGGAAAATAAAAATGTGAACATACCCAGAGTTGTCTTACTTCTCTCCCATATTCTAATTTCCTCAAACTTTTTTTTTTGGTATTTTCAAGGTTGGTGAATGTTTTCATCTTGACACATACACAAAATAATGTCTATGCTTTATCTATGGATCATTTTTTTAGGGTTGCAAACCAATAACTTAAATGTGCTTTTTAATTTATTTTTATTTTTTTTTTAATTAACCATAGTGTGAGGTTTCAATGAGAGTGCCACCCAGTAGGCTCATATGCTTGAATAATTGATCCCCGGTTGGTAGAACTAATTGGGAAGGATTAGAGGTGTGGCCTTGGAGGAGGTGTCTTCCTGGGGACAGGCTTTGAGATTTCAAAAGACTTTCTCTTCCTCTTCCTCTCTTCCCCCCCACCCTGTCTCTTACTTGCTGATCAAGATGTATGCCTTTACTATTAAGCATGAAGTTAGCTTTCAGATTTTTTAAACGCTCTTTAATATCTTAAGGAACCTATTTAATTGTTCTTTGTTTTTTTAAGATATATTTGTGCATAAATGTTGAATTTTTCCAATTTAAAAAAAATTCCCCATTTTATCCCAATGCTCAGAATGCTTTCTGTGTATTTTATGCACAGTGTGTGCATGTGGTGTGTGTGTGTGTGTGTGTGTGTGTGTGTGTGTGTGTGTTTGTGTGTATGTGTGCCTGTGCGTGTGTCCAGGCTAATTTTCTTAAGACCAATCCTAAGACTGTGGAAGCATGAAATGGACTAGGGAGCTTATAATGTTTGGATGATAATTTTATTACATTTACCTAAACTCTTGAAATTTTCTTGAAATTTTCATAATAGACCTGAGAAACAAGCATATAAACAATTCTCAGAATTCTCTAAGAAGAAGATAAGCAGTCTAATAAAAATGACCAACAACTAAACAGAGCTGTCACCAAATAAATATATAAAGAGAAAATATGAACACAGAGAGATACCCAGGCTCGATGGATAACAGACATTTACATTAAAGGTACAGTGGACTCTCATTTACACTGCTACTCCAGTAACTACAGTGAATTAGGTAATATCACATTCCAATGGAGCAACTGGAATTATTAAAAAAAATTATAAAAATGTAATACAAAGTGATATAAAGAGTTTAGTCAGGATTTTGTTTATTTTTATAAAATGACTCGGCAATTCTAACCCTATATGACTTACTCCTGAGAAATTAAGACATAAACT